TCTAATACTTTTTTGAAGAGAATTCATGCATTGATTGGCACATGAAAAAAATATATGGTTTCATTTAAAAAAATTGTAGCGATCTATATTTTTTATCGAATAAAAACTTTTTTGTAAATTTTCATTAACACGATTTATTGTCAACTGAATGCTGATTAACTTTTGCTTGAAAAATTTATTCATTAATTTCGCGGAAATACCGGCAAAATCGTAGCGGCCTGGCATCACTGCCTCGGACAATGGACTGTGTAAGCGTACTGGAGACGGCGCCGCGCCGGATCAATCTCGGCGCAGAGTAATACTGCTCTTATAAACATGTCAGAACGAAATCTTAAATTGTACTTTTCACTGATGATATGTGAATCATTAAAACGATTTTCAAAAATTATTTTATTTTAAGAAGTAGGAGCTTAGATACATACAATGATAAAGCGTAAGAAAAATACATAAAATGCAAACAAAGAATATTTATTCTAAAATTACGCAATGGATACAAAGTACTCTTAGAAAGTATTCACCAAGTTCTTAACGATGGCAGGCAAGATTCATAATTACTAAATTTTTTTATGATTCCACTTCATGGGTTGATGTGAGATTTTTTTGAGAGCTGCCACCCTCCACTGTGGTCGAGGATTTTGTTGATAAAGGACAGAAAATCAGGGCGACTGTATGAGGGGACTCATCATCGGCGCTTGAGATTTGGTAGATATTCCAATGTTAGGCGCATGTGTTTTAATTCATGATTATTTAAGACCGGGGATGGCTAAATCATATGAAAACTCAGAATAACGCACTGGAATTTTGCAAGGCTAACACGTAGTAGACAAAGACGCCTGAAAAGAACACTCGAGAACCGTTCGTATTTAGCGAGTGTTACATGCGAAGTGACCAGGCGCCTGGATTATCGAAACTTAGAACTCATATACAGGGTGTTTCTTAAAGAGTGTAACTCCCGGAAATGGGGGGTTGTTGGGGTGACTCTGAACAACTTTTTCCTGTACTAAAATGTTGGTTGAAGCTTCGTTATGAATTATTAACGAAAAACACTGGCCAATCAGAGCGCGCGTAGACCTCGCGCCCAGGCACGGGAGCGCAGCGACTCATCCGCGTGCGATCGTGAACAAATGCGTACGCGTGACTTCTCGGTTATCGATCGCTGTAAAAAAAATTTGACTTTGCACCGCTATTTTTATAAGGCTTAGAGAAATGGTTTTTTGCCGTCATTCTGTTGTTTGTATAACAATACATACAGTGGAGGACATAAATATTCATACACTCTATAAAATGGAATAACTTTTTTAAAATTAGGCCAAACGACTTGAGTTTATTTGAGAAGTTAGAAAGATTAGTTTACTACATGGCGTGTAAACAAATTTTTGAAAAAACTGCAATTAGTCTGAATCGCGAAGAAAATAGCGAAGGTCGTTTTTACAACTTTTTTTATCTGAGCTCGTAATGAAAATTTAAAAAATACGTTTTGTAAATCTATGTCAATTATACACACGCTGAAAATTTCATCGAAATGTGTTAATGTTGCTATGAGCTACAAACGGTTAAATATTGTGAAAATCGCAGTATGTCACGACTTTCGGCCTAGAACTGTAATAAATCTGCAGATTCTTACATCTTTCGATGCCTGTCGCTTGTAAGTAGCGCAACTGGAATCAGTGCGATAACTCCAATAATGACTTGGGCGAAAATTACTACAGAGATGAAATCTGCATGTTTCGAACTGGACTATATAGTGAATTATTCAATTTCTTCCTATCACTTGTATTTTTCGAAATTTCAAAGTCATCTTCAATTATTTAAATGGAATTTGTTTTTTTTTTTTTTATAAAGAAAGTTATGGATAATGGTAAAACAAATTCAGTGATATGTAGAACGATGATCATTAAATAATTTTTAAAGAAATTCTACCAATTAACGTACCCGAAAACTGGTAGGACAACACTTTGAACATCTTTCCTAAACTATTATAACTTTAACACATAAAATCATCATGTAGAATAAAACGGTAAAACGACATTTGCAAAACGGTAATCTACTGTTTATGTTATTATCAAGATTCCCCAACAGTCAATATACAGGGTGCATTACGTAATTAGGCCTGGTTATATGCCGAATTCGGTAAGAGAGAAAAATACTGCAGAGGGAAATGTTGAGTGGTATTGTAATGACTATTTTCCTATGGCTATACTTTTTTTGAAATAGAACTTCCCCTTTTTTTTTTACTTATATCTATTTCTCAGAACATTCTGCGTGAAAAACTATTAAAGCGCAATGCTTAAAAAATCAACATTTTGTGAGATATTTCACATTTTTAATAAATTGTCTGTTCGTGCTGATTCTACGCGATCAGGATATGTATTGTACATCACAGCAGCGTCGATAGAGTTTTTATTGCACAGTACAAAACAAGTGAACATATCAACCTTTTCATTATTAGTGAATGGTATCATTTTCAGCGATGGTTTCCGTACAAATCACTTACGAGACGATAAATTGTTGGGAACTGACTGAACCTTGTTGATTATTACAGTTTCTAATAATATGAAAGGTCGAATGTTGTTGATCACCATCTGTTAGTACATAATTTACGTGTTGATACATATCGCTGATATGGCTCACGTTTTCCAGTCCATATCTTCCACGAAACGTTCGATTTCTCAAAAATGTGTTTTGAAGTTACGAGACGTTTCTGTCACTAATTGTAAGATGTTACTTTTACAGCATATGTTCGGTACGTTCTCTGTTCATTTCAGCATACACTTTTACACGTTATAGCGTGTCGTTAATGGGAAGTTATACGTATGGGACGTATACCTGGGACGTTAATACGTATGTTTACATTTCTTTGGATTTGTTCTTGATAACGACGGAATAGTCTGTTATACCGTTCTTACAGGTATAAAGCAAAAAAAATCTAATATCTCCGAAACTAATGGTTTTTAGACCTATGTTTATTAAGACTTTTTTGCTTCTTTTGATGAGTACTATACGCACCTGAAGTTTGGACACCCCTTAATAAGCACCCTGTATATATTACAGGCTTTCCACCTGATTTCCCGTTTATTTTATTATACAGTGGGCGAAATTTCCATAAAAACACTATTATTTTTAATACAGATATCAAGAATTTTTATAATATAATGAAAGGAATACTAGGAAATAATTAAGAAATATTAGGAAGCAGAAAATACATGTACAGAAGTGAAAAAAATTGTTTTATTTTTGTTATAAAGGAAATATTATAATTTAACGCACAAAAGTGTGACAAAATTTCTATAAGAACAGTTTTTTGAATTCGTTTTCAAGAACTACATTTGCAACTTAATAACTATAATTCCGCCCTCGTTTTTAATTACTTCAAATATTCTATTTTTCATACTATTAATTAATTTTCGCAATGTTGTTTTTTCGATTTCTTTCTATTCATACCTTATTGCATTCTCTAACTCATCGTACCATCACAACTGAAGAAGATATTTAGGTGGCTTCGTTTAAATGGAACACCCTGTGTATAAAAAATAAAGACTGAAGTAAGCACTTGCCACAGAATTGTAAATTTGGAAGATTTCAATTAGACATCCGGTGGCTAATGTCCACACCACTCGGAAGGGGAATTTGAGAGACTTTCAAATGCTCGCCTGCGAAGGAGCCCAGGGAAGTCACAATACTATTGTGAAATACAATATCCACAATCTCGGGAAATAGGAGCGTGGGTTAGTGCCCGTGGAGCGCTGAATTGCTCTGCTCGCCGGAATGCGGGGAATATTCAAATAAAAACTTAGAATTTTGTTCGAACTGGTATTTTTATATTTTCAAGTCTATTTCAAGATATTATAGCTCTTAGCGAAACGCCACGACTCATGATACAGAAAAGAATGAATAAAAAATGTTTTTGAGAAGTTTCTCTAGGACGCGAAGTCTTTCCCCCTGTCCTTTTCCCAGAATCTAGATCCTCCCGTAATTCTCCTCCCAGATCCTGGTGACCCAATCGGGAGAGTTTCTATCCCATAGATCGGTGCTTCTTTTCCCACATTTACTCCACCCTTGATTGTTCGTTAGTGGATGGTGATGGCAGCGATTCATTGGAATGGTGGGAATGCAACGCAGATGTAACCGCCAACGTAATGTGCATATGCAAGGGAGTGCGGGCACATGTTCTAGCTAGTTGACTCGGCTGAATAGCCTTGAGATACAAAACAGAACATCAAGTGTGCATTTCTGAGTCCGAAACAAACATCCTGTCGAGAGAACCTACGTGGCCTAAACTAAATTGCCGATTGGTTACGGTCCTTGAATAAAATTCTTCGAGTACAGTAAACAAAACATTTCCGTTCCCGAGTTTTAACATTTTAGACGATTTCAAGATATATTCTATTTTTTTAAAACATACATTATTGACAATTCAAATTACGCTCCAAATGTACGTGTCGATTTCTCTAAGCTAAGACCATACTAAAGCTATATTCAGGAACATGCATGACAAGTTGTAGGGATTGGTTTAGTAACTACACTAGGAGATTGCGTATTTTTATGTTGCTTCATGCTCTATTGCCTACTGGTTATTGCGTACCGCCCGCGCCTTGGCGTCACCAACTTAGCCAACCTATTGTCGCCCCTAGGGTAACCTCGGTAACGACATCTCGCGGGGGCTAAATGTCTCTATTAGGAGACTAGCGTCTCCCACAAAATGATTAAAGCTATGTTCACTCGATAGCGTTACACTATATTTATATATTACTAGTAAGATAATTCTGATTTTAAATCTAATATAAATATAGTATAATTTATGTCGTCATAAAAAATATCCAATAAAAATAGAAAACTTGTAACTAGTAGATTTATAATTTTATAAAACTTAGGAATTTTATGTTTACTAAATTTTATGTACGATGAATGGATTACCGAGTAGTTTGTCTATTTGTGATAATTCTTAGGTTTGATCGTCGTGGTACTTTCTTATCCACCGATCTGTCAAAAGATGTAAATGCAAGACTGTGATTGATGTTTTAAGTTTCTAACATACGGTAATGCAATCAAAGCAAGTTATCCGAATAAATCGGAATATCGGGCGGACGTAGAAAGAAACCTTTTAAGTGATATTAGAGATATACCATTTATTTTTTAAATACCATTATGGCTCTTCGCAAAGTAAAAGGAAATTTTGAACGTATGTTCGATAAAAACTTGACCGATTTAGTACGTGGAATTAGGAATAATAAAGAAAATGAGGTAATTCTATAATTGTATTCTATATACTATTTTAAAATACTTTACTATGACATAACCTTAATTATTTGAGTTATTTTTTTTATAAATAAGTATTTTTATTTTATTATAGGCAAAATATATTGCACAGTGTATAGAAGAAATTAAACAAGAATTACGACAAGATAATGTTGCAGTCAAAGCAAATGCTATAGCAAAGCTAACATATGTAAGTTTCATATTTATGTAATTTATTGATAATTGCATTTGTAATGTCATTAATATAATGTATTTTGATTTATTCAGCTTCAAATGTTGGGATATAATATTAGCTGGGCTGGTTTCAATATAATTGAAGTGATGTCATCTGCAAAATTTACATATAAACGAATTGGATATTTGGCTGCAAGTCAAAGTTTTCATGCAGATACAGAAGTATGACATTTAAAATGATATAAAATTTAAGTTTCAAAGAAATCTGATGAATACTCTACGTATTATACTGAATTGGACATAAATTTTAATGTGTAAACTCTTTTTCTAGTAATTTTGTTACAAACAATTATGATTAATAAATATATGCCAAATAAAGGTCTTTTACATGTATTTTTACATGTAAGTTCTGTTGTAATACATAAAGGGACTCTGTCAGGTTTCTAAAGTCTTTAAATTAATATAGAATAGTTCAATTGTTTTTAACAAGTGCAAGTTATTGATATAATTTATTGCAGCTTTTGATGTTAACTACCAATATGATTCGCAAAGACCTAAACAGTCAAAATCAATATGATGCTGGTTTGGCTCTGAGTGGTCTATCTTGCTTTATAAGTTCAGACCTTGCACGTGATTTAGTTAATGATATAATGACATTATTAACATCTACTAAGCCATATCTACGCAAAAAAGCTGTGTTAATGATGTACAAAGTTTTTTTGCGATTTCCAGAGGCCTTAAGGCCTGCTTTTCCTAGATTGAAAGAAAAATTGGAAGATCCAGATAGTGGTGTACAAAGTGCTGCTGTTAATGTAGTTTGTGAATTAGCAAGAAAAAATCCAAAAAACTATTTAAGTTTAGCACCTGTTTTTTTTAAACTCATGACAACCTCTACCAATAATTGGATGCTAATAAAAATTATTAAACTGGTAAGTGAATATTATTTTTCAGTGTTATAATAATAAAGTGAAACAGATTAATGGAAGTATAGGCTCATTGTTACAATCAATGAATATTTATACACACATGCGCGCGCGCGCGCGCACTTAAACATATATATACTTAAATTTAACATGAGCCAAATAATATTGGTCTTGTTTCACATGCTCAGTTCTCCACTATAACACTGATTGAGCCAAAAATGGGTCGGCGACTTACTCAACCACTAATTGACCTGATTTCAAGGTTTTCGTATTAGTTGATTATTTTTTGTTACTGGAATACAGTAAATTATAGATAATTAGTTGTAGTATGCATTAGCAATTTGCATTTACTTTTAATATATATCTATGAACAATTCAATTATATGTTTTGTAAATTATGCTTAGAAATTTTATATGTTAAATATTATTATATTTCTTAGATTGCAATTATATTTCCAGTTTGGCGCATTGACACCTCTAGAACCTAGGCTTGGCAAAAAATTAATAGAACCCCTTACAAATTTGATACACAGGTATTTAATGTATTTTTGTCTCTAAGTAAACCAACATATTGCATTTGCAGTCTGGATTATTGCTTGTAAAATAGTCTAACATATTATTGCTGTTAATATGGAAAATTTTAGATATTTATTTTCTTCTAACCTTTCATATTCAAATTTTGTTGCTGTAATGAAATAAATATAAGTGCAGGAGCTTAAAGTATGTAACTTCTTGTGTGTATCTTGCTACTATTTTAATTCTTCAAATGATTAATTAAACATAATATTATTTATTGATTGCGCAACTTAGTTGGGTATTAATTATATAATATTACTGGTTTTTAGTACATCAGCCATGTCCCTATTATATGAATGCATAAATACAGTAATAGCTGTATTAATATCAATTTCGTCTGGTATGCCAAATCACTCTGATTCAATACACTTATGTGTTCAAAAATTGAGGATATTGATAGAAGATTCAGATCAAAACTTAAAGTATTTGGGACTGTTAGCAATGTCAAAAATTTTAAAAACTCATCCAAAAAGTGTACAAGCTCATAAAGATCTTATAATGCAATGTTTGGATGATAAAGATGAAAGTATAAGATTGCGTGCCTTAGATTTATTATATGGAATGGTTTCAAAGAAAAATTTAATGGAAATAGTTAAAAAGTTAATGGTGCACATGGATAAAGCTGAAGGCACTGCTTATAGAGATGAACTACTATCAAAGATCATTCAGATCTGTTCACAAAATAATTACCAGTTTGTTACTTATTTTGAATGGTAATCACCATTTTTATACACTTGTTAAAATATATGTTTATATATGTTTGCATAACATTCATTTATATGCATAGGTACATATCTGTATTAGTTGAACTTACCCGAATGGAAGGTACCAAACATGGACCATTAGTAGCAACTCAATTACTTGATGTAGCAATTCGCGTACAAGCTATACGAAAATATGCAGTTCAACAATGTGCTTTATTATTAGAAAACTCTTACCTTTTAACAGGTCAACCAAGAGCAACTATGTCTGAAGTTTTATATGCTGCTGCATGGATTTGTGGAGAGTTTTCTAGGTATTGTGAAATATATTTATTGATTCATATCAATTTTCTGATTAAAATGTAATTGCTAATACATTATATTAATAGTGAACTAGAAGATCCTATAGCAACATTACAATCAATGTTACGATCACAAGCCTCTAGTTTACCAGGACATATTCAAGCTGTTTATGTTCATAATATTCTAAAACTTGCTACAGCAACATTGTGCAAGGCAGAAAAAGATGGAGATACTGAAACTATGGAACAGGTACGTTATATATTATACATTTTTTATTGTATGTTTTTAATGATACATTTATTATCAAG